TCTCCTGTTATACTGAGTAGACTGCTACACTGACCTCCATCAGACGGAGGTATTGATCCACTACAAACTGGCTGCCCTGGATTCGAGAGCGAGCACACCCAGCAGCAGCTCACGCATGCAAATGTACATATAGGCATGAGCAGAAAACATGAACGCACATTTTTTGACCGAGCTCCATTGCCCCCTACCCTGAACCCACATGGATGAGTGCCCAGAGGGCTGCTGGGTAATTGCGAGTCATGACTGTAATCCACTGAATCTGAATGTAGCTAATAGACCCTCGCAGTGTATAAGTCTGAATGAACTGCCTTACAATGGCTGTCAGATAAAAGTGCAGCTGTGACTGAGGTGTGAGATGATTTGCAGAAAGGAGACATTAGTAAGTCATTAGAGCAGCTGAGTGGCTTAACTGTGTATCTTACTGTACTTAGGCTGCTTTTTAAACCTTCTTGCTCAACTGCATCGCCAATTAGTGTTAAACAGTCAGTAAAGAACAGAACAGAGTGCAAAGCAAATCATTGTCTGAGCTTTTCTCCTCGTCCTCCTTTATGAAGAACAAAAAAGAGCATGAAAATTATCTGTGTGAGAACTGGAGCCTCTTTTACATGGATCGTATCTAAGATCTCACATGAACTGAAGTCTGAAGTACAAAATTCTGTTTTATAATGAGTGAGCAGCGTGTGAGGACCATTAAGCTTTTGATTTATGCATTCATGTGTTAAGGTTATATTTGGGGATGTACATAACTACTACACATTAACATTGCTGCCCTCTGTAGTCAGAATTATTTATTTTGTATTATTTATAACTTAATTTATTTGTAGTATTCTTCTTAGATTATGCATTCTGCCCTAAGCTGCGCGCGTGCTCAATCGCGCACTGCTGACACGCTCTCTGCGCACAGAAAAACTGCGTTGCGCACAAAAAAAAAATCTAACGTGAATTGAAATTAAAATAAATACGTTAACAATTGATTCTGTTTTACAGTCAGTAAGTGACCGGTGACTGGCTGCTCCAGCCAAGGATGCGATTCACTTTCATATATACCGAGCTAA